CAGCACGGAGCAGAGAGGACCCATCCTGGCCCAAGCTGAATCCACGCACGTGTCTATATATATGACCACAGGATGACCCTGACCGCAGAATCCACGAGCATGATGAAAGAGTTGTTTTTAGCTGTTAATTTCCTGAGTGTCTGCTGTTACGCAGCAGTAGTTACTGGAACACTGACGTCACATATGGAAACAGTGTCGCTTTGAAATCTCTGGGTGACATTTCACACTTTCCCTCTCCCGCCCTCTCCCCTTCCTACAGAGGCACAAACGAGTAAATCTAAAACGTCTTCTGAGTGTGACCCCAGATTGAATTACTGAGGGGTCCTGCAGCATCCTCTGCTGTGGAAATGTTCTTTGAGTCCATGTTTTTTTGCTTTTTCCTTCTTTTTTATTTTTTAAATTATCAAAGTATGATAACACACCTACAGGAGACTTGGAAAATAGAGAACAAATTACATATAGTTCCACTATATATTGCAATTCCTTTTTAAATAGATAAGATTTTTAGTTGGAGTTTCAATATCAAACTCTCCAAAGTTAATAGAATAAATAGGCAGAAAAGTAGAAGGATATAGTGGACCCGAAAAGCACTATGAACCAATTCAACATAATTAAGATTTATTTTCACACAACAGCAGGATACAAATTCTATTAAAATTCCCATAGATTATAAACCGGGAGACACTAGAACATATCCAGGGACATTAAACAAAGTGCGAAAATTTCATGGTCTATAAGTATTGACATCGTACAGAGTCTGTTCTCTGAGTTCATGTTTGAAAATGAAGTCAAGTCAGAATATCACTCAGCCATAAAAAGGAACAAAATTGTGACACTTACAGAGACATGGATGGACCTAGAGACTTGTACAGAGCGAAGTGAGTCAGAAAGAGAAAAACAAATACTGTATATTAATGCATATATGTGGAATCTGGAGAAAATGGTTCAGATGAACCTATCTGCAAAGCAGAAATAGAAATGTGGATGTTGAGGACAAATGTATAGATACCAAGGCGGGGAGAAAGGGTGGGTGGGATGAATGGGGAGATTGACATATACATACTACTCATACCAGCATGAAATAAATAACTAGTGAGAACCTACTGTATACCCCAGGGAACTCTACTTAAGGCTCTGTGATGACCCAAATGAGAAGAAGATTCAAAAGGGGGGGATGTATGTGTTACGTATAGCTGATGCACTTTGCTATACAGTAGGAGCTCACACAACGTGGTAAAGCAACTATACTCCAACAAAAATTTTTTTCAAAAAAAAGAAAATGAAGTCAGGTCACCACCCACGGGAAAAGACTTTACTGGGCAGGTTGTCCATTCAGAGCTCTGTCATCAGACCTTCTTTCCCTACTGGTGCCCTTTCTTGTTGCAAGAATGCTCTCTGAGCCTCTGGCTTTTCCAGGTTAAGCCTCACTGGACTCGTGCCTCTAGCAACTTCACTCTGAGCATCACTCAGCTCTGCCATCTGTTGGGTGAAGGAAGGGGTCCCAGCCCTTCCCTGGAAGCGTGGGGGGCTGCCAGGCCCGTGTGCCAGCAGGTTTGGGTGTGACTGAGCTGACCCCGCAGGGCACAGCCGAGACATTACTGGGGGTGAGTGAAGCTTCCCTCCCTGCCCTGCCCTCCCTTCCCTGGGCAGCCCTGCTGTTTGCTGTTTGAGGTGACGCGCTTCAGCCCACTCGAGGGGCCCAATGTGTCTGTCATTCCCTGGACAGTGATGACTGTTTGACACTTGAGCTGCTGGAGGGACAAAAAGACCCTGCCTTCCCGAAGCTCAGGTGCTTGGAGGCAAGGCACATGTCTGAAATCAACCAAGTACACGAGCGGGTTTTCACATGCGAGAACTCCCGTGGGGAAAAGGAGGACGGGGAGGCGCTGGGGCACACTGGGTTGGGGGGTGGTCACCGTCGGTGGCCTTGAGAAGGTGGCATCAGAGGGCTGTTAATTACTCAGAAATCTGCAGATTTTCACTAAATCTTATCTGACATTTAAAAATAATGATTACGTGAACTGACCGCCCAGCTCTTCTGCCAGAATCAAAGCTCTTCCCAGGAACTTGACCCTTGTCACACTGTCAGCAGTAATATTTTATGACAAAGCTTATACATTATGGTCAGAGTCATGTGGTTTCTAAATGATCTGTTATCTCCTAAAAATCTATGTCACGGATGCAACCTGAGAGGGTGTCACTCTGTCACCTGTGTGTCTGGACTCCTGCTCTGTTCACTGGGGCCAGAGGCCACCCCTCCAGTTCAATTCAGTCGCTCAGTTGTGTCCGACTCTTTGCGACCCCATGAATCACAGCCGCCAGGCCTCCCTGTCCATCACAAACTCCCGGAGTTCACTCAAACTCATGCCCATTGAGTCGGTGATGCCATCCAGCCATCTCATCCTCTGTCATCCCCTTCTCCTCCTGCCCCCAATCCCTCCCAGCTTCAGGGTCTTTTCCAACGAGTCAACTCTTCGCATGAGGTGGCCAAAGTATTGGAGTTTCAGCTTCAGCATCAGTCCCTCCAATGAACGCCCATGACCTATCTCCTTCAGGATGGACTGGTTGAATCTCCCTGCAGCCCAAGGGACTCTCAAGAGTCTTCTCCAACACCACAGTTAAAAAGCATCAATTTTTCGGTGCTCAGCTTTCTTCACCGTCCAGCTCTCACATCCCAGCCACCCCTTAGGCCCCTTGAATTCCGCCACCCTCTCCTGGGTGACAGAAACAGGGGGGCCTAGCGGCCCGCTTGTTGGGTTGGTTTAATCACTTGGTCGTATGCGACTCTGTGACCCCATGGACTATAACCTGCCAGGCTCCTCTGTCTACGGGATTCCCCAGGCAAGAATACTGGAGTGAGCTGCCATTCCCTTGTGAGGGCCAGTTTGGGGGCTCCTGTAGGTTGTAGCCCTTACCCGTCTGCATCCGAGCCCCTCTCTTTGATGGTAATCTTTCTGGAACATTGAACTCGGACTTGCCATTAGCATCTCATTGTGAGTGAAGCTTCCCCCCAACAGGCATGACACCCCAGGGGCGACAGTATTGAGGGTTCTTGAAGTGAACTTTCCCATAAGGTAGCCACTAGCTACTTGTGGCCACTTAAGTTCAATTGTAAATTAATTGAATAAAGAAAAATGCATCTCTCAGTTGTAAAGTTTTCAAGTACTCGAGTACTTTAGTACTTGAATAAAGTACTTGAGTCCTCAGTTGCAAAGAAGCACATTTCAAGTACTCAGTAGCCACAGGTGAGTGGCTGGTGGGTTAGACAGTGCAGGTATGGAATACTGTCACCTTCCCAGAAAGTTCTCCTGGGAGTCCTGATCACCTGCTGGTTGAGAATGGAATGCAGGTTTGCGAAGATCCCTTCCCCCGACCACCCCACCTTGGCCTTGGCCCTGGCCCTTTCCTCCTCCTCCCAGGCACACTCTTCCCTGAAGGGACAGAAAGTGAAAGTTCCACCAGACTCTTCTTTCTGTCTGTTGAATTCTCCTGGCAAGAATACTGGAGTGGGTAGCCATGTCCTTCTCCAGAGCATCTTCCTGACCCAGGGATCAAACCCGGGTCTCTCACATTGCAGGCAGATTCTTTACCATCTGAGCCACTTACCAGACAGAAGGCAGCTCTTTCAGCTAGACTGGCATCCAGTTCTTTCTAACATGGCTCTGTGACTGCTGCATTGGAGGCTGTTTGGCAGCATCCTTGGCCTCTGTCCACTAATGACAGCAACCTCCCTCCTTCCCACTGTGATTACCAAAAACACATCTCCAGACATGACTGCTTGTGGGGCCTGGTGGACTGACCCCCACGACAGTGAGTCCCAGTGGCCCAGTTGAGTGGGAGGTGAGGGGGCCTGAAAGACCTGCAGGCTTTCTGAGGTCAGACACCTGGAAAGATTTTTTTAGCTTCTCAGATGCTAGACAAGGATGAACAGACCTGGGACAGCTCAGCCTCTTGGATGAGCAGTTTCCTCCTCTGGACAGCAGGCTTGCCACCCTCTCATAGGACAGTGAGAAGTGTTAAAGGAGACAATGGACGCAGGGAACTAGCTCAGTTCTTGGTCCCAGACGGGTTCGGCCACTGCATTTTCAATACTTTAGCCTAGTGGACTTGGAAAATCTCTGTGTCTTTCTCAAGGATTGGGTGGGCCCTGTGAGGGGTGGCAGTGAGGAGGAGATGGTGTGGGAGGGAGCCCTGAGGCCCCGGCCCTGTAGCCTGCCCGTCCGCTTGCCCCAGGCTCTCTTCCTCTGCGAGGACTAATGGTGCTCAGAACACTCGGGGGCTGGTTGCACTTCTCCCAGTACTTGCCCAATTCCAAGGCTACTGTCAGTTACTCTCAGCCCCATGCCAGGAGTAAAGGAGGAATTAGAATTATCCGGAGGAAAGGAAACAGTGAGTCTGCTGCCCAAGGTCAATGATGCCAAGCCTGGGGTCACCTGGAGTCACCTTGGTCCTCATGTCCTTGAATATCACATATTAAAGCCTGTTTTTTCATGCTTAAAATTCTTTGGGGGGGTCTCCCATTGCTCTTGGGGTTCATTTAAAAGCCTGTGGGATCTGGGCCCTGCCTATCTTCTAGCCTCACTCCTCTCTCCACACTGGGGTCCTTCCTACTTTGGGGTCTCTGCTAGGCACACTCCCTCCCCACCCAAGACACACCAGTATGAGTTTAAGGACTCCACCATGCAAGCCCAGCCCAGTGCCTGATGTATGGAAAGCACTTCGCAATTATTTTATGAAATGAGCACCTATCTTGATTAATGAGTGAGTGTGCAAAGGTGGGGAAATAACCTGAAATTAAGTGTTTTGGCCTAAAGCCATTGTTACTCCCCCAGGCTCTTCACCAGCTGCATCCTCTCACCCACCAGCGGATTCACATGTGCATTCTCTCTGGACACCTGTCGCTTCCAAAGCCACAGAAATGACAAAACCGAACCGAAAAGCATGTCAAAACCCCAGCAGGTCAATCGATCAGCAAAACAAAGGCTTTTTTCATTAAATACTCAAAGCTTTGGGTTCCTGTTCTAATCTGCATCTCAGATGTGGCCCTGCCCTCTCCCCTCCCCCGCCCCCCACCAAAGGCATTCTGGACCTTGGAAGCCTGAGCATCCAACTAGTGGGAGAGGGAGGAAGAAGCTCTGGAAAAAGCGCTGGGAAGCCTGGCCACTGGGAGATGCCACCCAACAGTGCTCCAAAAAGAATGTGCCAGCGTCCAGTCCCAACAGGCCTTAAAGGAATAAGGAGGGCCAATTCATTGTTGGTGGAAGTTGAAAAGCCCTTTGGAATTACTTTGCAAAGTTTAACATATATCACTTGTCCCAGCCATTCTACCCTGAGCTTTACATCCCAAACGATATTCACACTCTGTGCAAAGATCTATGCCCCAGATGTTCTTTGTGACAGTCTCCAGCATCGAGGAAACAGTCTGCCCATCAACAGAAGGACCCAGCACATCGTGTGCATCACCGTGGGATATGGGGACGTTCTTAGGACAAGGAGTCTAAAACAATGTTGAAGGGAAAAAGCACCTTTCAGAACAATATAGTGTCATACGGTTTACGTCTATATGCATTTGAAATAACGAGTCATCCTAGGGTGTGAAGGGGAGTTGATGGGCTGTGGGGTCATGAAGGAGGGAATGGCTTCCAGGAGGGACATTCGGCAGACAGGGGAGGGAGGAAACGGGGACAGAGGAGGAGGAGACGCCCAGCCCTGAGAAAGGAGGGGTAAAGGCGCCAGTGTGGGTCTCATGACCCTGCCAGAAAGTCAGGGTCCTTGCTGGGTACTGGTGGGGGACCCAGGCCATAGAAGAGGGTGGGGGCTGCTGGAATCACCTAGGATCGCTTGTCCTGAGAGAAGGAGCGAGGCCTTCCAAACATTGTAAACGGGGGGATGACAGGGTGACATGTGGAATTGCTAGTGTGTAGCTGAAAAAATGGTCGCCACCCTCTCTTAGGAAGGGAAAACGCTCAGAAGCATCCTGAGGCCAGGCAGAAGAGGGCTGGAAAGGCGCCAGGAGCTGTCGGGGGGCGATGCTCGGCGGCGCCCTGAGAGGGGCGCTGGTCTCTGCTGCCAAGCGAGATGATGTCTGTGACCCCTGCCCGGACTTGCCGTCTCTGCGCTACGGAGGCATCTATAGGTTGACCCGGAGGGCGGACGTGAGAAGACGACACTCGGGGATCGGGGAAGGTAACTCAAGAGCGCAGAGGCGGCTTAGTCCCTGAAGCGCAGCAGACGGCTCTCTTCTCCGGAGGAGGGGCTGGGGGTGGGACATGGACCCTTAACTTTACTCAGTCGCCTTGGGTTAGTCGCCCCCATCCTGATTCAGTATCAGGCTGTCCTGTGCTCGGGGAAGTTGTGGGGAGCAGACCCTTTTTATGCCATAAAAGCCACTGGAACCACCAACTCCAACCAATGCTGGTGATCTTGGGTCGTTGTTGCTGTTGAACTTGCCCCGAAGGAAAACATGAAGGATACTACCCCTATATGCTCCACATCCCCAGACAGAGGAAGATATGTAACCAACACCACCAGGGTTGCCGAGGGAGGGGAGAGTTCTTTAATGCGAATGTTTACAATGGAGTGCATATCACTTTCATAATCCAAAATGCAGTAAGAAAAAAAATGACCTAAGCAACTGTTTCAGCATCACCCTTTCTAGTTGTTTGTCCATGGAGGGGATTTCAGATCCCGGTCAAGGCCAGGGTGGCTGAAGGCAGGTGGACTCCTGCCCCACAGAATGCAATTCACTCTCATTGCATTTGCGTTTATGTGCTTCATAGGATTTGGGATTTGCAGGAGTTATGGCAGTGATTTCCTTGTCTAACACAACCCGAAGCTCATACTCATAATAGGTGATTTTTTTTAGAAAGGAGGAGATGGTGTGCCAGGCTCTGGGCTGGGCCCTGTGTGTGACTCCTTCATTTAACCCTTATAACCATCCCTTGCGGTAGGTCCTGTGATCTCCCCATTTTACAGATGAGGAAGCAGTGGCACAGTGAGATGTTGCCTCTAAAAGTCTTTGAACTTATTTTAAATACAAAATTTTAAGAAGAGAAATGGACCCCTCCTGCATGGTGGGAATGTAAATTGCTGCAGCCACTGTGGAGAACAGTATGGATGCTCCTAAGAAAACTGAAAAATAGAATTGCCATATGATCCAGCAATCCCACTCCTGGACAAGTATCCATAGAAAACTCTCATCTGAAGAAGTACATGTACCCCTATGTTCACGGGCTTCCCTGGCGGCTCAGAGGGTGACCTGGGTTCAATCCCTGGGTTGGGAAGATCCCCTGGAGGAGGGCATGGCAGCCCACTCCAGTATTCTTGCCTGGAGAATCCCCATAGACCAAGGAGCCTGGCGAGGCTACAGTCCATGGGGTTGCAAAGAGTTGGACATGACGGAGCGACTGAGCGCATACATACTATGTTCATAGCAGCACTGTTTTATTATAGCCAAGATTTGAAAATAACCTGAGTGTCCACTGACAGATGAGTGGATAAAGAAGATGTGGTACATATATAATGGAATACTACTTGGCCATTAAAAAGGATGAAATAATGACATTTGCAACAACCTGGATTGTTTAGACTTAGAGATTATCATACTAAATGAAGTAAGTCAGACAAAGACACATTCCATATGATGTCACTTACATGATGAGGAATCTAAAAAAGTGACACAAATGAACTTATATATAAAACAGAAATTGACTCAATCACAGACAATGGTTCCCAAAGGGGAAGGTGCGGGAGATAAATTAGGAGTTTGGAATAAACATATACACACTATTATATACAAAATAGGTAAACAGCAAGGTTTTATGGGAACTACATTCAATGTCTTATAATAACTTATAATGAAAAAGAATTTGAAAAAGAATATATACGTATAACTGAATCACTTTGCTGTGCACGTTAAACTGACACAACATTGTAAATCAACTATACTGCAATTTTTAAAAAATGGATAAAAATAACCCTCTAAGAAGAGGTATCAACCAATATGATATTGATTTGATGCTGAGTACATAAGACCTGTGTTATCTGTTAGTCAGTCATGGGTTTCTTTTGGAAACTGCTTAAGACAATGGTTTTCAAAATGTGGTCCCCAGACAAGCATCGTGTCATCTTTACACTAGAGACCTTGGAATGCATATTCTCAGGCCCCACCCCAGAAGGACTGAATCAGAAGCTCTGGGTGGAGCCCAGCACACTGTGCTTTAACAAGCCCTCCAGGGGATTCCGATGGTTAAGGCTTGAACTAAAAAGAAAGTAAACCATCAATGGTCCCTGACTGAATCCTCGTGGGATCTTTCAGAACTCAGTGGTTCCTCCGAACACTTCTTGGAGCTAGAAATTAGTCAGTGCTTCTCACATTTGAAGATGAACAGAGTCTCTTTCGAGGCTGGCTGGTCCCCACCCCTAGAGACTCTGACTCAGCAGGTCTGGGGTGGGACCTGAGAATTTGTATTCCTGATGAGTTCCCAGGCTCTGCAGAGGCTGCTGGTTGGGGAGCACACTTGGCAAACAACGGGAGGAGTCAGCGCCCAGGGAGGACTATGGCCAGTTCAGAAAGCCCCCTTCACATGGATCCCTTTTTACTTCTTGAAATAAGAAACTGAGAGTTCTAACTGTGAGGAGAGGCAGTCTTCTGCATTGCAGGGAGATTCTCCACTGTCTGAGCCACCAGGGGAACTCCCTAATGCTTTATTTCTAACTGTGAGACTGCCATCTTTGAATGGAAACTGAGAGGCAATTACAAAATAGGAGCCGATATAGTCAAATCCAACGAAGAAGCGCATCCGGGGACAAAGTAATGGGTTGAGGGTCTCCTCTCTACAGGTCCCTTCTTCTAAGAGCCCTGGGTGTCCCTTTGAGGCTGGGTTCCCTGTGCATCTCAAGCTCCCTCTGGAGGAGGGAAGCCATATCCAGGAGGTCATTCCCTGGTGCAAAGGGCAGGAGGAAGATGGTTTAGGGGAGTGTTATGAGGTATCTGTAAACAGCCGGGAAATGACAGGTCCACACAGGTCTCTCTGGTCACTCCTGCACACAGAAAAAGCAGATAGAAATGCCTTAGCAGGCCTGTGAGGTGTTAGTTGGGAAGGGCCATGCAGGCTCCTCCAACGGGATGTATGAGTATACGGAGGACAGCATGTATGTGACTTGCTAAGATTTTCTTTTTTAAGAATGCATGTTTAATGCAAGCACAGTCCACAAGATCAGCATTGATGGCCTTTTACCATTTGTCTTTAAAAATCTTGAAATCAATAAATCTCAGTAAATTATCTTAAGAGATCTGTCCAAGCATAATTTTGGCTCTTATTGGTAGAAAACATATTTTAAGATGGGAAAAATAAAGATTATGAAGCAAAATGTCTTTCTCAGTGGATCCTTCACTGAATAGGCCTAGGAGTCAAGAGAAAAGTGATGTGAGAAGAGAACAAGCATGAGTTGAAGACCTATTAGGTGTTAGATGCTGGGACCTTGGTCCTGTCTTAGATTAAGGAAGACACAGAACTGAGGTTAGTGCATGACTGCGTATAACAGGTGATGAAGCAGAGAGAGGTTAGTGTACAGGAGGGGGGTCTAAGGTGGGGGTGTAGTGGGGACAGGGGACCCGGGGCTCTTGGGAACAACAGGGCCAATACTGGTTAGGTGACGAGAACAGAGCAGGGTTTGACAACAGGGATGGGAGCCCTGATGGGAACCTGGTCCTCTGAGAGGACCGCAGCACTTTCAATGGCTGGAGGGCAGTGGGGTGTCGAGCCACTGGCTCTGACACTGATGGTGTGGTCCTGGACCAACACGCTGCCTGGCAGACAGTAGGGATGTCAAAACAAGAGATTCGCTTAGAAGAAAGAGGGTGAAGGACTTGGGAATTAATTGAATGTGAAGAAGGGAGGAAAGGAAGGGCATCAGGGGAGCTCTTGGATCCACTAATAATTGGAGTGTCTACTTATTGAGCTCCTAATGCACACTAGACCCTGGGTGGGAGCATTGGTTTCACACTGGAAGATTCCAGAACTGCAGTCTGGTCCAAGGCTGTGGCTAGGGGATCCATCTTGAAGCAAGCACACTGTTTAATTTGAATTTCTTGATTATTTGGATTGGAGGAAGAGTGAGTGATTAAGATAGTAGAGGTTAGACCCTCCCAACCATCCCAAGTAGGACCTCTACTAATTCTAGGGATTCCGAGAAGATTGAAATGTTCCCCCTGCCTTTACAGACTCATAAGTTAGTAAGACAGATGCACTGACAGAAAATTAAAAAGTAATGTGTCAAGTATGTTAAAGAGACACAAACATGATGGCACGGAAGTCTGTTGGAAGGTTATTTAACCCACTGGGAGGAGAAGAGTGATCCCAAAAGGCTTCCTGGAGGAAGTGACACAGGAGTTAGTTTTACAGCTTTCTGCACAGGTCCTTCAGGTGTGGGGCTGGGTGTAGGGTGGGCCACTCACCAAGGTAGTAAACACTGAAAGAGGAGCAGATTGGAGAAAAAGGTGAGAAGTTCGGGTTCAGACAGGTTGCCTCTGAGGCTGCTCTACAACTCCAAGGAGTGATGTCAGGTAGGGATTGGATACTTGGGTCTGCCACTGGTCCCATTTTATAGATGGGAAAATTAAGGCTCAGACTGGCTAAGTACCCTGCTGACTGACAGCAACACAGCTGGATAATCACAAATTTGAGCTTCAAATCCAAGCCTAGTGGTGCTGGAGGCCAGTCAGCTGTCCTGTGGCCCTGTGGGGACTGCCCTGGACACACACTTTGTGGCCTAGTCACCCGGGCCATCAGTCTAGAAAGACCTTTCAGAGAGTTTCTGAAGATGATCAACAGAAGGGAGAAGATTTAATTGATGGGAACAGGAGGGCAAAGAAAATGACTCCTATTAGAATGAGCTCACGTTCTCTTGTCTGATTTCCTTTCGATGGTGAGATAAGAAGGAAAATGGCAGAATTTCAAGTTCCACCCAAACCACCAGGAACCCTTCCCAGTGCCCAGAACCCACAACCTCCACCGCCCACATCGCCCTCCCACTGACATGCCACCCTCCGGGCCCACCCCAATCTTGCCCTCTGTGACGTGAGCCAGCAGCATCTTGGAGACAGGCCCGGGAGGCTCCCCCACATCCAGCCGCCTCCAGAGTGGGTGAGCAGAAAGCTTTGCAATGTTCTTTCCCTCCATTTGGAGAGGAGGGAAACTGAGGCCCATGTTATGGGGTCTTGGGTTTGGCACAGCCCAGCCTTCACACCTTCCTCCTGGCCTGGCTTTTGCTTGGAGCATTAGCTCTCAATAACAATCAGGACAGGCAAGTCACATATGCCCATAACCAGAGCCACGTGGTCCAGCGAGGAGTAGGGACTAGGATTCAGGAGCAGGGGAAGGCCTGAGTCAGGACCTCAGCCAAGTCACAAAGAGGACTCATGTGGACTAAATCATTCCCCTTTCAGCAAACAGCTTCTCCAAAATTAACATTAAAATTTTAACAAAAACCAAATTGGTTTATTCCCATGACTCCACTATGAGATTTTTCTTCCCTGTGTGTTTGCCGGTGGTTTCTGTCTTATTAACAGTAACTCTCTCAGGGGGCCCTGTTTGAGGCCGGCATGTTGACTACTTACCCTTTGTGTTCAGAAAGACAGCTTTCTTTACAGGAAGCTCCTGCTCTGCATCCACGCTCACCACTCAGCCCTCTTCCTGCCCCAGTCCAGGCAGGTGGTTGGCATCCCTTCCTCCTTCGGCCAGGTTGTAAGGAAGGATTTGGCATGAGCAGTTGCTTGACGACGGGAACCCCCATTACCCACCCCTACATCCTCTACATGACTACATGAGGCATCACCCAGAGCATCCCTAGATCCCGATTCAGAGACTGGGCAGGGGCCCCTCAAGTTCCCAGCGCCATTTTTACGTCCTCCCCTTGGCCTCCTCCTGCCATACGAGACCAGCGTCCCCTGCTCTCCCCTGTCCCTTAGTTTGAATCCCTGGCCTTGAGATGAAGCAGAGCGCAAATACTTTATCTGGCACGTCTACAAAATACCAGTATGGGGGAGGTATCAGTGTTCTGCGGCTGCCATGACAAAGCGCCGCAGACTGGTGGTTTAAACAACAGAAATTTGTGGCCACATAGTTTTGGAGGCCAGAAGTCCGAAATCAAGGTGTTGGCAGGTTTGGTTCCTTCCAAGAGCTAGCTTCAGATGGTTTGCTGGCTGTCTATGGTATTCCTTGGCTTGTGGGAGCATCACCCTGATCTCTGCCTTTGTCCATACGTGTTGTTTCTCCTGTGTGTCCAAATACTCTGTCCAAATTTTCCCTTTTTATAAAGATAATGGAAACAGCGACAGACTTTATTTTCTTGGTCTCCAAAATCACGGCAGATGGTGACTGCAGCCATGAAATTAAAAGATGCTTGCTCCTTGGAAGAAAAGCTATGACAAACCTAGACAGAGTATTAAAAAGCAGAGACATCACTTTGCCAACAAAGGTTCATATGGTCAAAACTATGATTTGTCCAGTAGTCAGGTATGGATGTGAGAGTTTGACCGTAAAGATGGCTGAGCACTAAAGAATTGGTGCTTTTGAACTGTGGTGTTGGAGAAGACTCTTGAAAGTCCCTTGGACAGCAAGGAGATAAAACCAGTCAATCCTAATGGAAATCAGTCCCTGAATATTCATGCTGAAGCTGAAGCTCCAATACTTTGGCCACCTGATGGGAAGAACTGACTCACTGGAAAAGACCCTGATGCAAGGCCAGATTGAAGGCAGGAGGAGAAGGGGGTGATAGAGGATGAGATGGTTGGATGGCATCACTAACTCAATAGACATGAGTTTGAGCAAGCTCCGGGAGTTAGTGATGGACAGGGAAGACTGGTATGCTGCAGTCTCTGGGACTGCAAAGAGTTGGACATGACTGAGCGACTAAACACCAATAAAGACCCAGTCATATTGGATTAGGGACCATCCAAATGACCTCATCTTAACTAACTATATCTGCGGCAACCCTATTCCAAATAAGGTCCCATTCTGAGGGACTGGGGGTTAGGACTTTAACATATGAGTTTTGGTGGGGAGAGACTCGAGTCAGCTCATAACAGGGGTGGAGAAAAGAAACAGGGGAAGAAAGGAAGCCGATATAGAGCTTACCACCCAGCAGTTTTCAACCACGGGCAGCTGGTTATCCCACAGGGACTTGGGAGACAGTGGGGACCCCCGGTGGGGTGGATTCTGTGGGGCTTGTCCCCCAGCTGCCATTTACCCACGGCAGAGGCTGCTCTCAAGGGACACAGTTCCTGGGGTTTTCCTGCTGTGCAGAGTGGCCCCCAGTGTCCAGACAGAACCTCCCCTCACAAGCCAAAAACAGGGGTGCTGGCAGCTAGACCTAGGGCTGAGCGGGTAGTGCCCAAAATGAGAAAGGTGATGAGATGTGCTGACGTGTCACCAAGCCCCTGCCCTGACTCCCAAAGCCTTCCTGGTCACCAAGTCTGTGAACACAACTTTGGCATCAGGATCATCACACAAGACCCAGAGATGTTGTGTCTCCTTGGTCCTCAGCACCCTCCCTGAGATCTGATCCACCACCGTCTACTATGGTCAGACCCGGTGCTCACATTTTGGAGGAAAACCACACCCAGGGGGAGCCTTATGGTTCATGACAGGGTGGTGGAGCCCAGCCCCTGGAAAGCTGGGATTTTAGAGACAATGGGGGTATGGGGAGGGGGGCTGGGGTGAAGGCTGACTCTGACTCACCAAGCCTTGTGCTTTCTACACATTAGCACGGCCAGGATCGCTCCCCCAGACACACCATCTGGGCGGGCCTGTAGCGTGCTTTGGGAAGACAGGCAGGGGCAGGCACGGGAGGGTCTCACCTTCTGCCAGTCCCGTCTTTGACATGAGGTTCCCCGGGCAGTAGGCAGGGGACCAGGAGCCAGGCCCCCAGGTGCTGCTGTCTCCTCAAAGCTTTGTCCGAGCCTCCGCCTGTGCTGGATGCCTGCCCACCAGACCAGGAGGAGGGCGGGGAAGCAGGCACCACCACAGACACGATCCCGTCCAACTCCTTCATTCTAGACGTGGAGACAGGGGCCCACGGGCAGAAGTGAACACTACAAGCCTCACACCGACTCCATCGTGGTTTATGAGGCTATAGTTAATAATCAAACATTTAAGATCTATCGAACAGGCCCTGGCATATTAAGAGCTCATTAGAAAATTTCTGATTTTATCATCAGAACAACTCGTAGGAAAGTGTTATTTACTGTCTCTGTGTGACAGATGGGGAAACTGAGGCCCAGATGAACTTCGCCAAGTGTGGCTCTGGGCTTCTGGGACAGGGCCACCTCCGGGTGGGCTGAGCGGCTCCGGCGGGGTGGGGAGCCCCAAAGCACACAGGCCTCCCACATTCCCCCTTGGCTCAGCCCCAGCGACAGGAACAGACAGGGAGCACCCCGGGGCCTGTCTGCCACCGGATCAAAGCACCAGGGTGGGGGCCGCCAGCCCGGGCGTGCGGAGCAGAGCCGGGCGGCAGCGTCTGGGCCAGGGAGGCCCCACAGCGCCCGGCAGAGACCCACCCCCGTGCCAGGCCCCCACTCGGTGCCCAGGAGGGGCCCTGGGAGGGTCCTGAGAGGAGGCAGGGAGGCCGCCCCAGGCCTCTTTTGGGGGTTCTGCTTGCCCACTGGAAACCCAGCCTCCCAGCTGCTAATTGTTCCCCGCCCCACACCAGCAGAGTGTGGGGCGGCCAGCAAAGTGCCCACGAGCAAAGGCTGGAACGCAGCCATGGGAAGCCAAAGCCCAGCCGGGCACCTGCAGTCAGAGCTCGCCAGCAACACTGGTCTTGCCCCTTGGGTGTCCCCTCACCCACGCCCACCCTAACAGCCATCTGAGGAAAGAGGCCAGGGGTCTGTGCTTTATAAAATCTTTTATTTTGTACTTTATTTTCTCCAGCTTATTGAGGTGTAATTGACTTATAGCACTGTATCAGCTTCAGATGTACACTGTAACAATTTGATGCATGTAAATATTGCAAATCTGATTATCACAATAAGTTTAGTTAGCATTCATCACCTCACATAGCTATAGAATTGCTTTCCTTGTGATGAGAGCTTTTAAGATCTACTCTCTTAGCAATTTTCAAATATAAGATACAGTCTTGTTAACTGTAGTCACCATGCTGTACATTACATTTCCAGGACTTGTAAGTGGAAGTTTGTACCTTTTGACCATCCATTTCACCCAATCCCCAATTCCCACCTCTGGCAGCCATCGATCTGTTTTCTGTCTCTAGTTCAGCCTTTTAAGATTTCTCATGTAAGTGAGGCCATGTGTTATCTGTCTCTCTGACTTGTTTCACTAAGCATAATGCCCTCAAGATGTATCCATGTTGTCACAGATGGCAGAATTTCCTTTTGATGGCTCAATAATATTCCATTATATATGTCTATCACATTTTCATTATTCATTCCTCAATTGATAAACACTTAGGTTGTTCCCATGACCTTTTCTTCTTTAATTTTTATTTTATACTGCAGTATAGTTGATTTACAATGTTGTGTTACTTTCAAGGGTATAGCAGAGAGATTCAGTTATACATACATGTGTATGTATACACGCACACATATATATATTTTTTCAGATTCTTTTTTCATTTAGGTTACTACAGAATATCAAACAGAGTTCCCTGAGCTGTATAATAGGTCACTGCAGGTTACCTCTTAGTAGTGTATACATATCAATCCCAAACGTCCAGTTCATCCCACCCCCAACCTTTCCCCTTTGGCACCATAACTCTAGTTTTGAAGTCTGTGAGTCTTTCTGTTTTGTAAATAAATTCATTTGTATCGTTTTTTTTAGGTTCCTTGTAGAAGTGATATCATATGGTACTTGTCTTTCTCTGTCAGATTTACTTCATTTAGTATGATTATTTCCAGGTCCATCCATGTAACTACAAGTGACTTTATTTTATTCTTTTTTATGGTTGAGTGATATTCCATTGTGCATGTGTGTGTGTGTGTGTGTGTGTGTGTGTATTCCACATCTTTATTCATTCATCTGTTGATGGTTTTGCCATGTCTTAGCTATTGTAAATAATGCTGCTATAAATAAGAGGGTGCACACATCTTGTGCACATCATGTTTTCATTTCCTTAAGATGTATTCCCAGAGGTGGAATTGCTGGGTCATATGGTAGTTTGACAACTTTTGAGGAACCTCCAAGGGACCCTGTGCTTTGCAGCAGGGGAAAAACTCTTTCACCTACAAAATTCGGGCCAGTCAGGTACTTGTGCTAAGCAGAGCCTCAGAGCAGGAAGGGCTGAGAGATCACCCCATGTTGTGTGGACGGAGCCCAAGAGCACATGGACATCCGATGGTAGGTCTGGCTACCGTGCCTCAGCCCCAGCCCGGACTCTGTCCATGCCTGCATTTGCTTTCTACCACTGCCAGGACAAATTGTTACAAACTGTGCTTAAAATGACATGAGTTGTGTTTTTTTAATTTTTAATTTAATTTTTCGCTGAGCTGTGTGGCATGCGGGGTCTTAGTTCCCTGGCTAGGGATTGAACCTTTGCCCCTGCAGTGGAGGTGCAGAATCTTAACCACTGGACCACCAGATGCTGAAGCTGAACGCCAGTACTTTGGCGACCTGATACGAAGAACTGACTCATTGGAAAAGACCCTGATGCTGGGAAAGATTGAGGGCAGGAGGAGAAGGGGATGACAGAGGATGAGATGGTTGGATGGCATCATTGACTCGATGGACATGAGTTTGAGCAAGCTCTGGGAGATGGTGAAGGACGGGGAAGCCTGGCATGCTGCAGTCCATGGGGTCGCAAAGAGTCGGACACAGCTGAGGGGCTGAACAACAGCAAAATGAAATGGTGATATTTTGATTCTGTCATTCCTTCCTTGTTTATCAGCTACACTGCTCCTAAAAAGGGAAGCTTTATATATATATATATATATATATATATATATATATATACAACTTTTTCCATTCAATCTGTCTTCACATGGAGATATTTGGATAGTTTCCAGTTCTTTGATATTATGAATAATGCTGCTATTAATAGTTTTCTGCATGTACTTTTATTTTATTTATTTTGGCTGCACTGGGTCTTCATGGCTGCACACTGGTCTCTAGTTGTGGCGAGCAAGGGCTGCTCTCTAGTTCTAGGGCTTTCCATTGCAGTGGCTTCTCTTGTTGCAGAGCATGGGCTCAAGAGCACAAAGGCGTCTCTACGTGTTGTGCACAGACTTAGTCTCCCTGCAGCATGCAGAATCTTAGTTTCCTGACCAGGGGGTTGAATCTGCATCCCTTGCCTCAGAAGGTGGAATCTTAACCACTGGATGACCAGGGAAGTCCCTGCGTATGCCTGTTTGTATTGTGTCTGAGATAGATACCTGGAAATGAGATGTGTTAGTCAAAGGAGTAAATGCATATGCAATTTTGCTAGATATTGCAAATTTCCCTCCATCAGGGTTGTCCGTTTCCCATTTCCACCGGCAATGTATAAGACTGCCTATTTCTCTACAGCCTCACTGACAGATTTTGATGTTGAACTTTGGGTCTTTGTCAGTCTAATAAGTAAAAAACAGTCCCTTGTCTAGTTTTACTTTTCAGTTTTCCTAGTACAATTTATGGGTAAACACCTGTTTCACCCACCCATTCCTGAGGCCAACTTTATCAAAATTGAAATTTCTATACACAGCTGGGTCTATGTCTGGATTTTGTGTTCCATCCCATTGCTCTATCTTTTCATCCACTCATCAGCACCAAATTGTTTCAGTTACAGAGACTTTTTAAAAGAACTGAAGTACAGTTGAGTTTTGGTTTCCCCAGTGGCTCAGTGGTAGAAAATCTGCCTGCAGGGCAGGATACCCAGGTTGTCTCTGGGTCAGGAAGATCCCCTGGAGAAGGCAATGGCAATGCACTCCAGTACTCTTGCCTGGAGAATCCCATGGACGGAGGAGCCTGGTGGGCTACAGTCCACGGGTCACGAAGAGACGGACACGCCTTAGCCCCCGAGCACAGTCTCGGTGGTGGCACGAGGGTCCCGGTGGTGGCACGTGAGATCTTTCGTTATGGGCTTCTCTCCAGTAGCGTGTGAACTCAGCAGTTGTGGCGCGTGGGCCTAGCTCCCCCACGGCATGTGGGATCTTAGTTTCCAAACCAGGGATTGAGCCCACATCCTCTGCATTAGATGATTCTTAACCGCATCAGGGAAGTCCCCAAGGCTTGCTGTCTGATACACCCTGTGGGTTGGCCTCAGCTGTGGACCAACACCCATCTTCCCACACCAGTTTCCTGCTTCCACTTTGCTGACAACCTCCGCCACGTGGCCTGACTCTGGGTGGCCCCTAAGCCATCTCTCTCCTTCTTGGAATGATTCAGAGGCAGCGAGGGTTTGCCTCTCCCTGCTGACTTCTGGCAAAGGAGGCTCCCCAAGTAACCTGGGCGCAAAATAAAACCCTGACACCAAACGTTTAAAAAGATAACTTGAAACATTGAAAAAAAAAAAAAGGATATTGGAGGAGGAATCAAAGGTGAGAAATGATGTGTATGTATTTGGGAAGATTTGAGAGTAAATGTTCTTTTATTGAAGCCCACAAGCCAACTCTGTGTTACCTTTCTGCTGAAGACAGTGGAATGGAGGGGACCCCAGGAGGTGGATGCCTTGGAAACTAAGCCATCTCCCACACTATCTTTCCATCACTTCTCAGTCACTCCTTAGTGAAGCAACTAATTTCCGTTAAATTCGATATACTATGGGCTGGATCAGCTCAGTATCGTATAGAAATTAGATCACATTTTAATTAGGAGTCTTTCATAATTGTTTCACATATAAAATTTTTTTTTATTTTTGCATATATCCAACAGTCGAAATGAGTCTAGTGATCACCCATAAGTTTCCTTATGTTTCTTTGTTATCCATTGCTTCTTGCCAATTCCTCTGCCGCTAAGCAAATATTGATCTGATTATTTTAAAATTCAAGTATGGTTGATTTACAGTGCTGTGGGAGTTTGAGGTGTACAGCAAAGTGATTCAAAATCTATGTCTACATATATACGTATGTATGTGGTGTATATATATATACACATGGGCTTCCCAGCTGGTGCTTGTGGTAAATAACTTGCCTGTCAATGCAGGAGGCATAACAGACCTGGAAAAAGATCCCTTGGAAAAAGAAATGGCAACCCACTCCAGTATTCTTGCCTGGAGAATCCCATGAACAAAGGAGCCTGGTGGGCTACAGTGCATAGGGTCGCAAAGAGTCGGACATGACTGAAGTGACTTAGCATGCACATGTGCAAATATATATATACATACTTAAGTGTATATAAATATATATATATATGACACATAACACACACATACACACATATGCTCTTCAGAATCTTGCCATTCCCCACAGAGAAGCTGAGTCGAGTTTCCCCTTTCTTTGAACCTAGGCAGAACCTTGTGTCTCGATGAATAACATGCAGCCGATGGATGCTGGGTGACTTCCAAGGTTTCCCAAAAAGTGACACGGTTTCCGCCTGGATGTCTATTGTGATGCTCACTGTGAACCTAGCTACCACCATGCTGTGAGGAAGCC